TTACCAACGAATAGTGGCCCTGACCGCCACATTATAACGCCCCCCTGGCTAAAAGGGCGAGCATGTTTGGTGTGACGGGTATTCGAACCCGCGACCCGCAGATTGCGAGTCGAGCGCCCTAACCACCTGACCATGCCGGGCCACTATTCTTAGTAAATAGGGCCATGCTTGGCCTGGTACTTAATGTTATCCGACTGTGAATCTGAGGATCCAAGGTTCGCAGCCAGTTGCTTCCAAAATGCCTTCCTCACTTTGGGGCCGTGGGTGCGGTATTAAAACGACAAAGAAATCTCACTATTCGGTCATACAAGAGTAGCCCAAAAACTGGCGGTGGGTGCTGTTGACTAGCTTTTTTCTTTTGGTGTATCAGCTTACAATTACAGACAGCTTTGCGCACAATATTCTAAACGATCATAGTAAATAGCCCATAATAGTATAAATACGTTTTTCATACATACGTGCTTGTAGTTCTAGAAAGTTTTGCGATAACAACTTAGCTTTTCGGTAGTTCAGCGGTAAGTCTGAGGTCCTAAAACGCTCAAAATCGGGTTTCGATACCAGCGGTGGGAGAGATAGCTCATTGTTTATTTTTATGCTTAACAAAGCGATAATACATTTAAAAAATAACAATTTGTATCATAATTTATCCTATAAACTAAATATTCACCAATTTATTTTCAAGGGAAGCCTCACTTAGTGCTATTTTAATGAAATATTCATTTTAAACTGTAATATATTTTTGTGGTATATTCCAAATAATAACAGTAAGAAAAATGAAAGTACGGTGGCGCTTAAAAAGAAAAAGAAAACTAGGGTTAACAAGCATGCGCTGCGGATCACGTTTCAGGTTAAATTTACGCTTTGCAGTTACATGAACGAAACGTAAAGTAGGAGGATAAAATATTGCTGGTGTTTTCCAAATTAATGGTGAACATGGAGCTGTCTGTGCCATTCCTCGAAGTATCTTGTCACCAATCAATTATAAGTCAGAAGACGTCGTGAAAAACCTTTTTCGTATTTGTCAATCGTACTGAAACAATAAGCGAAAGAAGTACGTTATAATTATTCAAGAACATTATTTATACTTTTCAATATACAAAGTAGATTCTTCAAAGAAGGTCAGCACTTGCACCATTGGGCTACGAAGTTAGTGTTAAAGCCGCGGATTCCAAGAATTTCAAACACCATAAAACGTCAATAAACAAGCCACACTCTGTAATTTCTCAACGCCCGATTTTTTATTTTTTTTGTTTTGTTTTGAAGGACACGACTGCGGGACTCCTCCTAGGGGGAATAAATCGTGTAGACTGATAGGAGACATCCTCGTGTGTTTTGTGATGGGGTTAACTTTTGAGCCTGATGTTGCATATATATATAGTAACTCAGATAGATGCTCCCTCCCCCAGGGTTACTGGTTTATTTTCATTTAGTTGAAAGAAATACTTGTTGGATACTTTTTAATTAATTATTTGTTTTAAATTCCAACGAAATCTGTTCTCTCACTTTGGCGATGATTGGAGTGCATACTGAAATTTCAGTTTTAGTTAGGCACCTGTCTTCGTTCTGTACTATTACGTGGATTCCAAAACTGTGGGTTGCGCCCCCTAAGTAAGTCGGAAGTGCCTTTCAGGGGTGGGGCGGGGAGGTCGCGAATACTTGTGCAATTTTAGAATGGGCATCAACTGATTTACTGGATATTAGTTTTGTTGATGCTGTACTGTAATGTACGTGAAATTTAAGCTACACTTTTACCAACGAATAGTGGAATTGACCGTCACATTATAACGTCCCCACTGCTGAAAGGCGAGCATGTTTGATGACGGGGATTCTAATCCGCGACCCTCAAATTGCGAGTCAAGCGCTTTAACCACCAGGCCATGCCAGGCCCGAGTAAAAGTGTTATCTCTGTCAGCGTATATTGCCAACAGGCATGTTATTGCTTCAATTGATTATTCATCTTTATGCTTTTGCATTTGAGTACCAGTGTGAACATCCAAGATGCATAGTGTTCCGGTTTCTTAAATTTGTTGTCAAACACTTGTAGGCTTTAAAGGTACCAGTGATATCAGATGGCTCGTAAAGCTTTCTTGAGGTTGAACTTTTTTTGGTTACTTTTGAAAAAAAAGTTTAAATTGGTGGGCAACAACAATGTTTTAATGTTGTTTTTATTTCTTATTTATTTGTTTTACGCCCTTAATCTCAACTAGTTTGGGGTCGCCTTCGAATTTTTAAAACCAGCTGGTTGGCCCAGTCAACAACCATATAGGACGAGCATGTTCGATGAAGAGGATCTGACCGCACGATCTTCAGATTGCGAGTCGAGCGCCCTAACCAGAAAAAAAAAAGAAAAAGTAATAATAATAAGTTTGCAAAAATGACTATAGGATATCCTTTGGTGAAATTACACTTGAAGTTTCTCATTTTGGTAATGTCGTTGCTCGTTTTGCAATGAGAAATTTCTGCATTAGTTGATGATAAGAATATCGTTAGGTGTTTTTGGGTTAATGGCCAAAAACACCGTTAGCAGCAAGGGTACCTAATCGATGACGTAAAGTTGGTGAAGAATCTTTTGGTAGTTTGTTAGTTACTCGTAATCAGAACTATTAATTATTAATTGTAGAATTTTAGCAGCTCTTCTGGTAGAAGTTCTTACATAATTGAAAGCAAAATGAGGAAGGTCTTACATGTCCTAAATTTTTCAGGTTTTTCGAGACAGTGTATAAGCCCTAAAATTCTGCCTTGGTGAAACAGCTTTAGTCCTAACTTGAGATATAAGATATGTAATAAACATATAAGATACCTTTGTTATAACCAGAAACTAATGATAGTGTTACTGGGAGAAAATATTTGTAATTTTTTTAGTGTAAATATTTTCATAAAGATGAATAAAGAAACGCATGTTTTGATTAAATAGGACATAAATATGGCACACGAATAAATTGGCATAAAGTTTATTGTAACACTAGTGTAAAACATTGGTTGTTAATGAATGTGTAAATGGTTTTAAGCACATATGATTTGTGATGTTATCATTTAGTTTGCATGTTAATAGTGGATAGGATCTACTTAAGTTTGTGAAAACTAGGTACCTAAAACTATTTCCTCTCAGCTTGCAGTATAAATGACCAATTCTGTGTTTTGTAGGAGAAGAAGACAACGGTAATGGTATTCCGACTTCTGCGCGACTTACGGTCCCTCAGCAGGAGGCTCTGAACCTTCAAATGCCTCGAAACTCCCATCATTCAGTTCGACCTAAAGAAAGCCTCACACGCAAGATGGAAGATGTCATCAACTCGCCTCCTGCGAAACGGTTTCTTTCTGATGATGACCTTCTGTGGGCACGTGCTACGTTGCCCAGTGCTCATTTCAAAATTACAAGTAGAGGTATTGGTCAAAATTTTTTCTTTTCTTTTTTTTTTTAGGAATACGTATGATTTTCTTTTAATAATTTTCATATATGACACCTGAATGATTTTTAGGATTATTTAGAATATTTTGACATAATTCTGGTACAAAGAGACATATAATATAATAAGTGTTGTCTAAGATATATACATATCATTGGAAAGCATTTTGATCACCACCCCATATTTGGTTTTAGGGTATGTGTTTTCTTATTTCAAAACGTGATTTTTTTTGAAATATCTGGTTTAGCTTAAAGAACGAGATTCAGTCAGAAGTTATGCGATTCTTTTGATCCTGATTGCTTTCCAAGATTTAATTTGATTCCTCTAAAACGGTCCCCCTGTAGTACACATGGAAGTAACTTTGACAACGTTTTATCGTTTTCATAACTGTGAATTATCCTTTAGGTTAAAACACTCGTTTTCTTTATTTTTACAGTCGATGGACGGTCTCAGGCAGACAATTCTCTAGTAGTAAGTATGGAAATAAACGGCGTGATGTATCAAGGGCTTCTCTTTGCGCAGTCACACAAAAGTCCAAAGATGTGATGACCATCCATTACTGATCTACTCGTATAGTGCCTTTTCCTATAATCGTGTAACACTGACAATCTGCCAAGAGGATACTCCTACCAGTACACCAGAACGTCCTTTGGAGGCAACATGCGGCCAGCAACGTACTCTGTACTGTAATGGCTTTCGATTTTTGGAACTTTACGTTTGTATTTATCGTGCAGTTTAGAAAAACAAAACAAAAAAGTAAAATATTTGTAAAGCGCGACACATAGTACTTACCGATATTCCAGGAAAGCCCATTGTATTCATACGAATCCCTATTATGAAAGCTCACCAAGATTTTTTTGTTGTTGTAAATTATGATACGATACAAGCTCATGTTGACGTTTCATACTTTCAGTACGATATAATAAAAGTGTCAGCTCGTAAGATAAACAGAGATTCTTATAATAATCTGGTTGAATGAAATATTTATTAATAATTATATTATTTACAACACCCAAGAGAGAGGTTTTAAATGGGAAAGATAAGTTAGATAGCAATCAAATACTTTAATCTTTATTTGATGTACATAAAGTTAATTTATAGCTTCAAATCAAGTCGCTCCTTTTTTTAGTGGCTTACCTTGCAAACAGAGCAGCACATCAGGTTACTTAGTGCTTTGCAAAATAAGATTCTGCAAAAAAAACACTAATTTGAATTTATATCCAAACCACGTGTCTTTAATTTTTTTTGATATTTGTTTTCTGTCTTCCTTTTTTTTACCTAATAGAAAGAAAACGTTATATAAAAACAGTATCTTAGTGTTGTTGTTTCTATATTTTCGATGATTACTGAGTTAAAGTGAACAACCATGCTGGAAATAAAGAATGGGAACAACAAATTGAACGTTAATGGGTAAAGGTATTCGTACTACGATAGAGGATATCTCAAATCGTCATATTCGCGATCCTCACATTTGAGATTAATTTAGAATTAAAAATAAGGAGCAGATACGGAACCAACCTTAGGTTCTGCTATTCGTCGTTTGTTGTCATTTCTCATTTTCTCTTACGAACAACTTTCTTCCCACAAATGACAGCAAACGGTAAATCGTACCTCAGGTGTGGGACGTTTTGTCAATATCTGCTCCAAGATGGTATTTTATCTCCTATGAAAGACAAAAGCCTGGATGGACAGCAAATATTGGCTAATACTCTGTATTTTCAGCCTGGATGTTGAATATATATAGAGAGGTAAATGTTTTGTGTATGTATATTTGTATATATATAGACACACAGAAACATAACCTGAACTATACTATTTTTCACCGGCTTGAATGTTTTCAAATTCTGTCCATATTGAACTTGTATACATTTCTTTACATTTTAATGTTACTTTTTAGTATTTGATCCTCGGCAATGGATTATTATACTGTAGTATATTTATGTGATTTATTTGCCTTTTTATTTCATATGTTGTTCAATATTGTTAATGTGAGACTTTGCAGACCGTGCTTATTGTCTTTTTTTATATAGGACTTTCTCAGGGATAACACATGAACGGCTCTGCGTTTTGGTACAGTTCTTTCGTTTATCGTAAACAATGTGTAAAACTATTTTTGTTGTTGTCAAGTGTAAAAATGTAACGTTTTAATATGATGTCGACCTAATCTGTTTGTAGATTTTTTTTTATTGTTGGAGTAAGTTTTAGCCGATTGATTTTGTTTTATTAGGACGATTTGATTTACATGTATGATTACTTTAAGGATTTCTTTTTTGTTTTCGAAAGCCGAGTTTAAGGTATTTCTGACTGTATTATCACCAGCTTGGAAAACAAATATGAAAATTTCATGGATGTACTTTGATATATTAGTTATAAAAAAACAAACAAACCTGTCTTGATTAATTTTCTAGTCTATTTGGTCATCTATATTTGAGACATTTCATATATTTACTGTTGGAAGAACGCTAACTGGTCAGATATGCACAAGAAATGATAAACACCATTAGATTACAAGAGAAAACAGGTATTATCACAGCCCTACCCTTCTTAACAATTGTATGTATAGTTTTAGGGTTTTTCAAATTTATTTTTACGTGACGTTTAAGTAAGCACTCAAAACATGTGATATTAAAAAATATATAACATTTTTATTCAGAAAGTTCAACGTTGATTGTAACGCATTTTGTAAACTTGGAAAGTTTTTTTTGTATGGCTCTATACAGTAGATTTTTTTTTAATGCGATAGAGATGTAAACACATGAATTAGAGTAAATGACTTAGCTCTTATAATATTACAGAATAACCAATCTTTCATTCAAATTGTAGAAACCTATTGTTTTTACATTCTGTTTACATCTTGAAGGGTTGGATGACACTCTAACAGAATAAGATATCGCTACCAGTTTGCACAATAAGGAACATAAATATAATTGCGCAAAATAATCAACCAATGCTTTTGTTTATTTGTTGTTAAATGTGAAGCTACACAGTTGGTTATCTGTGCTGCGCCAACCATAGGTATCGAAACCCGGTTTTTGCGTTATGAGCCTTCAGATTTACAGCTCAGCCACTAGGGGAAGGAAGCTCAACCAACATAAGTTTATAATTTGGCTAAATTAAAAATTATGCACAATTTAATGTTGGAAACTAAGATAAAATACTAACATGTTAAAACCATATCATATCGTCATGCACACTATAAAATTAAGATGAGAGAAATCGTTTTCGCTGTCGTCGTCTCCTGGTAGGTCACTGATAACTTTACGGACTTGCAACGCTTATATCCGGGATTCGATACCCACGGTGGACAGATGGTACTAAGAAAGCAACAACTTTTTTACCGTCGTGCAAGAGTCGGCCATTTTTAACACGAGCTCACTGAATGTTATATAATTATTGTTTGCTCGTTTTAAAATTTATCACGGCAGCTGGTTGTTGAGATTACTATTTAGATCTGTACCACAATTTTGTAAAACAAATTCTCTTTTGAAAATTTATTTAAACGGAAGCTGTACGAAAGAAGGTAGCTTGAATAAGAATGTTATGAATACACTCATCTATACCTTGTATTTCATCTTCCATCATCACTGCATGATGCCCACACCCCAGTGGCACACCAGTATGTCTGCGGACTTATACCAGTAGAAACCGGGTTTTGATACCCGTGGTGGGCAGAACACAGATAGCCCCTTTGTGTAACATTGTACTCAACTACAAACAACAACACTGTATGACAGAACCAAAGCCATAAAAACTAGAAAGACTTTAGCGCGAAGTTGTGTGCCTATATGTGTTTTATCTCAATTTGACTTCGGTTAAAATGACCAATATTTCAATGTACTGTCAGCAGACGTAATAGGTTGTGAAACGTTTTAACCGCTACGTTAACTTTGCTTTTGCTGTGAATGAATTTTTTTGGTGCGTAATTACAATAATGTAAGATTTAAACTGGCATTTTAAGCGATTATTATCGTAATATGTGCGAGGTATTTCGATTATAAGGTAGAAGAAAAAGTAAGTTTTGAGAGTCGTTTTTTTAATTTGAAAAAAAAAAACTTAAACCTTTTGGCTAAGTCCATAATGTTGTTATTAAACGCAAGCTTTCAATTCCAATGCTCATTTATGACCTTTGCGAAAACCGAGAGGCAATTGGTCCAAATAAGTTCATTGTGGAATAAAAAACCCAAAGATTATATTGTCGTAGAAAACGTGTTATCAAAATCTACATTTTAATCAAAAATCAATTATTTTGGAATTGAACCAATAACATTATACGTTCATCTGTTACACAGTGGAATTAATGAATAAACAGCATGCACGACAAAAACTGCTATGTTTGGAAAATATTACATTTAAAGAGAGATAGAAAAAAAAAGGTGTTAAACAGGAATTAAACACATGCAAAACAAAGAAGAACAATATGCAATCTTGGATAAAATATTCTATAATAAAATTGGATTTTAATTATAGTTTTAAATTGTACGACGTCGATAATTTAACGAGTACAGCATCCGGCCATTTGATTGCGAATCACTTTCGATACAAACTGTTTTATAGAATTGATTTTAGATGAGTAACTGTGCTTATTCAGAATATATACCTTATCTACGAGCACGTGGTATCACTTATAGATGACATCACATGCACTTCTTAATGTGAAATTTTTGTTTCAGTATGTCTCTATTTGTGTGAAATAAAATGGTTTTTCAGGAATTCTTGTCTGGTAATTTTTTGTTATTCTTGGATAATAATAACTAAAACTGAACGTTTTAAAAATGCACAGAAGTAAATACAAAATACTGTTAGTTCACAAAGGTTAACCCTACTTCTACGTGATGAAATTGAAAGCAGTTATTTAGTATTACGTAAAAAAAATTCAAAGAGTTGCAGAAATATCAATTTATACAAAATAAACTGCTTTTACCTTGTAGGACTTTAACATTTTTACATTTAAACTTCATAACTAGTTTAAGGAATTTGTCCTGGAGTTTCACTTCTCTATATTGGAAGTGTAATTTTACGATTATCAGAAATGGCCCATGTCCATTACAGCGTAATTTAAGTGTAGTCTCAATTAATTTTCAAGCTGTCATATTTCGTTTGTTTGTTTTTGAATTTCGCGCAAAGCTACACGAGGGCTATCTGCGTTAGACGTCCCTAATTTAGCAGTGTAAGACTAGAGGGAAGGCAGCTAGTCATCACCACCCACCGCCATCTCTTGGGCTACTCTTTTTCCAACGAATAGTGGGATTGACCGTCACATTATAACGCCCCCACGGGCGAGCATGTTTGGTGTGACAGGGATTCGAACCCGCGACCCTCAGATTGCGAGTCGAGTGCCTTAACCACCTGGCCATGCCGGGCCGTCATATTTTGTATAAACTTGAAAATTTCTTCTTGTTTTTTTTATTCTACGTATTCCTTTTTTTCCTTCTTCTTCTTCTCATAGAAGTATTAACCGAGAGAAATGGAAGAACTCATTGGGGAGGGGGGGGGGGGGTATGACCAGCAATCAATTTAATTTTGGGTGGTATGACCAGCAGTCAATTTAAGTTTGATAACATTCCACGTTCGTTAATCACTGCATACCTGACACTACTCTGTGTAGATACAAGGTGTCCCAAAAGTCTGTGGTCCTATATCAAAATGGGGGCGAAAACATATCGAGCAAATCATGTATAAGTTTCATTTCCCCATGGGGCAAGACTTCTGTGACATATTGTATATTGCTGTGATTAGAAATGGTGTTTCGTTATCTATAATGAGCATTGAATGTCTTTTTTGATTTGATTTTGTTTTAAAAACTTGATTAATCTTAGGGATTTAAAATCAAACGTCTTTCCTTCAGAAGTTGTTATTTTCTTCTTTGGAATTTAATTAAATGTCATAAATCTTGTTGTTTTTGTTTGTATAAAATACATCTATAGCGCAGTTTGTTGTTTTCAACCTTATTCCTTCGGTAATTATTGTCTCCAATGTACCTTCTTAGATTATTAGAAATGCGTCTTCACAATACAAACAGGCCAAATAATTCATATTGGTAACTAGAGATTACAATATAATGGAAAATGTCGATTTTTTTTTAAACAGTAATATGAGAGGACACTTGCAAAGTGTGGAACCTGAATTTAGGATAAGGCATTTTTTTTAAACGTGTAATAACCATGTGTTTTTATTCAAAAACTAATTGGGTTAAAAAGAAGATTCAATATAAAATTTTCGTTAGTTTTCGAAAGAAAAACATGAAGGATAACTAACCATGAACTCTAATCCCACTTATATGGGAATAAAAAGCAAGAACTTGAAGAAACTGATAGACCCCCCCTGTGGCACTTACAACGCAAGAAACCGGATTTCTATACCCGTAGTGGCCAGAGCACGGATAGCCCATTGTGTAGCTTTGTGATTAATTACAAACAAACAAGAAACTGATAACTTCTATCTAAACGATCATGTGTAATGGGTGTTTGATCTGATTATCAAAGCAACTTGTTTGAAAACCATACGGGAACCGTGTACAAACAACTGCAAAAGTTGTTTCAAAAATGATGAAGCTCATATGGTTTCTGTAAGAATTTTATCACACAGCTAGCAAATGAGAGATACCATGGTTAGACTAACTCATTTGAAAACTAACCAGTTTCGTTATGTCTTGCAGAAATTGGTGATGTGAAACTTTTAAACCTTTCTTTGAAAGTACTGTGTTAATTTAAATAAAAAAGTAATACCCTTTTTATTTGGACACACATTCAGGTAACTGAATCAAAGTATAAGGTGGATAAAAAAAAAAAGCGCGTTATCCTCCTAACTTTATTTTAGTCTTAAGAAGAATTGGGAAAATTTACTCAGTTGAAAGTTAGACACGGAATTGAGCACCTTAAATGATCAGCAAGACACGTGACAACTACAGCCAATATTAATTGCAATGTATAAGAAAATGTTAATATTTGTTTAACTTTCATAAACTAAACTAATCGCTTTTGGGGAGGATATGTAACAACCCTTTCCGATGTAAAATATTGATAGACTCAGATCATAAAGATGTGTTCAGATAGGGAACTTAAAACTTCCAAAAGGGGATTTATCTTGTGCTTAATGGTGTTGGAAAAACCAAAGAATATGGATCAATTTGAGACACAAGGGCCATCAAGAAAGAGACCTGCAAGTTGTAGCCCAGCCGTGGTAAGCAAAATGCGGCGTCTTTGTAAAAGATTAAGATTCACTAACAGTGGCAAAAGCCATCCACGTTCCCCAGGCAACAGTATATAACATAATTAAGAAGGATATCTGGAAAAGCAACACAAGCTGTTTCAATAACATATCTGTTCAACCTTGTAAGTAGTAAGTCTCGAACGATCGCAGCCAAAGGATGCTGCCTCAGTGATTAATTAAATCGTCCTTTTAGGATTAACTAATTATTTAGTGTTAAGCTTCCTTTATAGGGTGATTTAATTAGAAATGATTGATTATCGACATGATGAGACATTTATTGTACAAGTCATGGTCACCTAGAAACACGTTCTCTATTTTGTGATGTAATCACCCATTATAGCCGCTTGTCTGGTATCGAACTATAATTTCAGCTTTCCATAAGTTGGTTACGCCCTCTGGTTACACTTTGTTGAACAAAAATAACTTTGTCGCTTACCATGGCGTCCTAGCAACTCGCCCTCTGGTGGAACAACTTGGAACTATAACCTTGTCATCTTTGATGACGACATCCCCTCTCTCCACTGTGGCGGCATCCTTTTGGCGGTAAAGTGAGGTCCCTACTACTGTTGTATAACTCAAGCAGTTGGAAAATAAAACTGTTAGTCATGCTTACCCATACGAAGACACACCCGGCATCTGTCGATTTCTGTGCGATGGGACTGTTGAAACTGCCGCTAGGAAATCATCGTCCTTTTACACTAGATAGATTATAAAAAAGCAGAAAGGTGTGTGTGTTGTGCTTTGGAAATGATAGCCTTATGACGAAGCCTTTTGCAGTAAAGACGACACTACAAGGCTATTGTCAAGATGTATGGTAGTCACACAGAGCACAACCGGACGCGGTGACATAAGCTATAACAACATAATCAACCTCTGTACTATGTATAAAGAAATTCTGGAGCTTTAGGAAGAAAAAATTATTTTTCATTCCGTTTATTACTAGAATAAATTTTGGTACTCTTTTAAATATATTTTTTAATAAAATAGTAAGATTTAACAAATTAATGTCATTAATTTTACTACTTTCAGATATTTGATTCTCTTTTTTCAAGCCCCCTAGTGGCACAGCGGGATGTCTGCGGACTTACAACGCTAGAAACCGAGTTTCGATACCCGTGTTGGGCAGAGCATATATAAGCCCATTGTGTAACTTTGTGCTTAACTTCAAAACAGACTTTTTTCAACCTAGTGATAAACAGTTGCTAAATTGGATTATATGCTCTTCGCGTTTACTTTCGTACAAAATACGTTGAAGTTACATTTATTACGCTCAGAAACATATATTGTATTGGCTACAATGATAATATAGGTTAATACTGGTAGCCATGGGCGTCCGCAGGTGGGGGCAATTGCCCCCACCAGGAAAATGAGAAATTATGTCTATATTTATTCAGCATATGCATATGAACTTTTCATTCAATTCATAATTTCACACAATTGCCCCCTTGGAAAATTATCTGCGGGCGCCCATGCTGGTAGCATAAAATATATTAAATGTTGAAAGTTCAAAATTTGCTATTAGATACAGTAACCAAACTCTTAACTCTATAACCACCGACGAGGCCCATGAGTCGATAAGGACTTCATCAGAGTTTTAAACACATTTTATAAATTACTTATGCACATCATTGCTTGATAGTCTATGATTTTGTTCAGTTATATTGTAATACAATACTATTACGCTTATTTTATTTTAAACACCACATTCTTTATTCAGTTCCTTAGGGACCTTAATAAATTATTTACACTCTTCTTCAATTGAAGAATGAAGTTTTAAAAAATACAATAAGCCTAACACTACTGTCTTACGACAAGTATAATTTATTATAATCACAAGGGACTGCGAGGCCTATCTTAGACAATACATCTTAGTAAACATTTTACAGACCCTTTACTTCAAAGACCACGTTTAAGTAAACTGAAGACGTAAAGCCCATTAAAGTTGCATTAGGGTTTGACAGGTATATGCTGTGATTCCAATTTCGTCGAATGGGTTTCTCATGAAAACAACCATTGATTATGAGGAGACGATGGAAGCTTTTGAACTATAAGCCTTCGTCGACTTAAACTCCGAGTTTTATTCTATTAACAGTGCTAGGAGATATGCTCAGCTTCCTCCTAATATCATTTCGGGTTGTAAGGCTCTCCCTCATTAACTTAACCTTCACAACGAGGAGGAGAACTTTGGAAAATTGCTGTGGAAAATTTTCCTCTCTCTCATTGAGAACATTAAAATGTATCTTATGGCTTTAGGTCGTTTACTAATTTCACTGTATGAATACTCTTCTTCAGAAAGGGCTGTAACATAACTCTCCAGTCATAAGTGTTATCGTAATGGCATTGCAATGTCGAATGGCCAAGAATGCAGCAGGGCTAATCTTTGAGGCGACAAGCCACTCCATTAACGTATACAAATATTCTATATGAAGTGCTATTAACTCTCTCTCTC